GTTATTTACCAAATCTGTGACCGGAATTAACCATGAAAACAAAACAAAAATAATTGAAGTCAATATGAGATTCACAATTAATGTCGATCTTAGATTTTAGTGTAACTTAACAAAACCAACATATCCTATAGCATGTTCACTGTAAACGTACACAAAAGCTTATATTCAGGTTCATGTGATGTGAATTAGTAGATTCTTGAGCTGAAAATAACCCTCATCCATGTCCAGAGTTGCTCTCATATGCTTTAATGGAGCAGAGACAATGAGCATGCGAGAGAGACGGAGAGCTTCTTAATCCCACTCAAGTTGGCATTTGCTACTTTCTATGGGTAGGTTGCCGTAGTGCCATAAATAGACATAGACTTGGCAAGTGGAGAAAAAGTGAGGCATGTCTGTTTTCAGACAGACAATTATACATAGTTGTAAGAGCATGAAGCTCCTATTTTGACAATTCTTAAGGTTATATTTGAAAATGTCAAATATCTGACAATGACTATGCTGGTATTTTAGAGTTTATGATTACCATGTTAATCGTCCCAGTTTGGCATCACACTATGACGCACCACTTAGTTAGTAATTTAACTACAAAATAATTCAACCACACTCTTGGGTTGAAAGTCCAGGTTGTTTGTTTGACTCAATCCATTCAATAAGTGTGCGGATATATTTCAGACTGGACCAAAGTGGTGGATCTACTGTGTGGACTGACAGACCGGCCAACACTGCAATCCGTAATGCCATGCTGCAAGCCTCCCTAAATATGGTATTGACGGTATCCAGTGTTAGTTAAATATAGTCCCTACACACCCAATAATGCTGCGCAAGTTAATCTGCACCTTTCAGCACACTGTCAAACTGCACTTGCACCTGTCTAATCCTGGGTAGAAAGAAAACATATCATTCTCTGAAGGTGAAATTAACCATTTACATACAAACACTACAAACACTACAAACACACTCATTAATTGAATATCATCCTTAATATGATCCATCTCACCACTTCAGATAGACAAACGAGGGCCTCGATCATACAAAATGAGCTGTGTGCAAAAACAGCTGAAAGGTGCAGCAGGAAACAGCTGTGTAGCTTCTGCTGACACGTCTTTAAAAAAGGTGTGGCCCAGAAAACAGGCAGGGCTGTGGCCAGCAGAGGGTTTCACTGACACAATTTCCCTGGAGCAGAAATATTCATAACCACTAAACAAATGATGTGGGCGGCAACATTTCTGTGCAAAGGGAAAGCACAGGACAAAGAGCCTAGAAAAAGATATGCACATATGAGAAAAAATACATTTGTCTTCTGTTTCACATTCATATCGGGCTATAAAACAAGACTTATTGCCTAAAAATGAACAGAGCCGTGACCATGTGACTCTACAACATCACTCGAAAGGAAACTACAAAGCTGAGATGCATATTTTTCATTTTCCTTCTTTTATTGGGTACCAGTGTTTGCCTTTGATATGGCTGATTTCATTACTTTCTTTCTTACTTATCCTTCACAGTTGAATCCAGGTGACACATACAGTCGGTTTAGTCCATTTTGAAGTGTACTTCTGATTTATTTTAACATGCTCAGGCAGGGTTGTTCACATCAGATGACATGAACGAGCAGGGGAGGTGACAGTCAGGGCTGCGCAAACAAGAAGATTTATTTATTTTTTTTAATAACAAATTCAGGCAGTCAAGGTAAATAAAGCACATTTACAACCGTTATTTAAAATAACCAAGCTTGGCATAACATCAAATATTTAAATATGTAGGAAAGTTGAGCCCTCTGGTTAATTAATACAAAATGAGTCAAACAGCCTTTACAAATCATTATTCGTATTTGTTTTAACCTAATTCAAAAAAACACAAACGAAAATGATGTCAATTATCGATTCGAAAATCATCATATCGTGTAACTTAAAATCTCTTCTCTTTTTTTAAAAAGAATGTGAAGAATTTGAATGAATGACTTCTGTTTTTCCACCAAACAGTAGAAGACATTATCATGAGGGGAAATAAGGATACAGAACTAATCATTGGCGAGAACACAGTGGCAGGTTTCATAAATCACGCATGCCTTGCTTTAAGGACACTGTAGCCGATCAAACATGTGGCCTTTCCATGACCAGACTCATGACACCAAATCAGTCCCCCCTAAATGTGTCCAAGAAAATGGACAGTGCTGCCATTGTGTACGAGCCATCCTCCATTTCCTTCAGTTATGTTCCGCTTCTTTTTCTTCCGATGACCTCATGTTAATGCTTGCAGCTTTGAAGAAGAACAAGAACGTTATTATTTTCATGTCTGCTACGCTAAATATGAAGGAGCAGCAAGGAAACGGAGGGAAACAGCTGTTATGAATTATCGTACTTACAAATGATTAATGATTACTTATCATTAAGGATTGATCAAGGCTCACAGTGTGGCTATGAGCTCGGTGGTTTCACTGCAGCCAGAGTTCCCGCCCCAAATAAAATCAGTGAATCTGTTGATTTCTTGCCTTGGAGCCTACAGGAAATATATTTATTTATATTTAGTCATATACGTACACATTTTTATAGTTCAGTAAATTTCTGCAGTCTCTAATGTAAATTCCAAGGTAAACTCACAAATGATAACTAGTGAGCTTTTGGAGGTGTCGGTAGGTTAGCCGTTTCCCCCGTTTCCAGTCTTTATGCTAAGCTAAGCTAACAGGCTGATGCTGCATATTTACCATTCACACAGAGCGTGTCAATCTTCCCATCCAACTCTTAGCAAGAAAGCGAACAAGTGCATTTCTCATAATGTGGCAAAATCTCTATTCAGTTTCTTGAAATTTGATATTGACAATATATACGATAAAACACAAGCATGATTATGAAACTGCAGAGCACACGTTGCCGTGTTCAACCAGTCGATATGAAACCTGGGATTGGAATGAAAAAAAAGGAAAAATATCATTGATGACATGCTTCTCTCGCTGGTGATATTGGTCTTGCATGTTCTTCCGCGCTCGATCAATATTCAAATTCAATGTTCAAAATGAATGACGGTCACTTCAGTGTTTTAAATATCAACTTACAAGCTGCACAGATATGTACGCTGTGCAGGTTGTAGAGCACAGCATCAAAGATTCAGATGTTTGCTGTTGGCAACAACTGCCGTTTATTTGGACCAGAAGTAACTTTTGGAAAAAGTATACAAACGCTTGGAGATCTAAAACTAATGGGCCAATGCGCCAACAGACCAATATTTACATGACAGATTAATCTCCCTTTTGATAACAAACATCAGCTTCTTTTATCACTCAGATAGGATGGAATGAGGACTCGGATCAGACATACTGGTTTAAAAAAAACCATGCTTAATCAATATGTCACATCTCACTCATTCACAACAAGGAGAGAAACTAATAAAAGGTGCAAATAATAAACAACACAATAAGTAAAATGAATGGGTCAAAGTGTAGAGCGGAGAGCAACATGGGCATTTGGACTTGAAATGATTTGATTTAGTTTCTCTTCATTCACTTGGTCCAGCAGTATGTAGCTCTCTTTAAGTTCATTTCACACAATGTCAGAGGTCACTATCACATATCGATTGATCCGCAGAGTCAAGAGCATGGTCAGCATTAGAAATATCCCTCGTTTGAATCCTTTTTTTTGCCTTAATACGTCTCAAAAAGGCAATGAACCTTATTCAGCTTAACAGACGATGAGTAAAATAAAAGTATAAAGCACTACACTATACACGCATGTACCTTAACTCCAAGGAGTATTTTAAAGGATTGTAGTACACTCCATGCACTTTCCATGCAGAGTGATCCTTATCGACAATATGGCACGGTCACATTTATCACTCTTAAATAACACGTTACAAAAAAAGAAACAATTTTAAAATTAAGTCTTCCATCTGCAAGGCCGGCAAGTATAGAAAACAAAACAACCTCCGTGTCTGACGTGTTGGCTTCTACATGAGCGAGTTGTTTTCTCCTCGCGTCAACCACTAAAATTCCACTTTGTGACATCCAGTCTGTTTCTCTGCCACTTCCTCTCTTTAGATCAGTGTCGTGCCATTTTAGAGCACAAGGACAGTGCTGGAGTGGGTATCAAAGAGACCACTGTTCCCTTGGCTCGGCACTTGGCAAGTATAGTACAGATGCCAAGAGATGGCTTGGGGAGACTTCTTGGGAGTGAATCGTACCAAATAGTCGGTCGGTGATGATGTCCACTTTGAAATGAGGTACATATGTGTGAGGTTTGTTCGCATTTCTGATTACATATGTTGAAAAGGTGTTGTGCCTTCTCTTAGTGGCCACTGATTGACTGAGAAAAAATAAATTCACATTGATCCTGAAAATTACATTTGGCAAACCAAAACAATGTGGACACCAGGGGTGTACTCATTTTCCCTTTTCCGTGAAGGGTGTAAATGCAACTTGGATAAACATTCTGGTGTACATAGGACTTAAGACTCTATATCTGATGGCTCCTGCTTTGAACTAAAGCTCTATTTGGAACCACAGAATGCCAACCAAGCGCTCGGGTTGAAGAAAAGCAGAGAGAAAAATCCTTTCATACACATACCAGACCCGCTTTCACTCCCCCCCCCCC